AGTCGAAGGTCAGAGTTATCTGACTTTTCATATAAAGCAGTGAAAGAATTATTAACTTTAACTGTTAATAACTTTTTAATGAATGACGACCGACGGCTAAAACCTGGTGGAGGTCACTCAGGATTGCGACCTTGACAACATATGTCAAGGTCAAGGTCATCGGGGGTAGCTCTCCTTTTCTTAACATTTACCAAATCTTGTAACTAGTTTTTGAAAAATAGACTGTAAGAGAAGTACCCCAACTGTTACAAGTTGCAACCCACCTAGCATCGAGGTAAGTTGAAACAGTACGGAAGATGAGTTGAAACAGATAATGTTTGTACCAAAATTAAATAATATGCATGTATTAATTGATTATTATTTTAATTAACATTGTTAAAAACATTTAAGATACCTTTTTGAAAGGTGATACACAGCAGATATTTATTAATAATTATAATTGAAGTAATTAAGTCTCATCTTCAATTAGTTTAACATTGAAGTAATTAAGTCTCATCTTCAATTAGTTTAACATAACCTTTTTGAGATAAAAAATCAACTGAATTAAATCTCATTTGAATTGTCATTTAAATTTGAACATTTTCTTTATAATAAAATTTCAAATAATAAAATAACATAAAAAATAATCATGTGTGTGTGATTAAATACTTATTACTAACAAGGGAAGTTTCACAATTGTTCGGAACCGATTTGATTCTCCATGAAATATGTTGTTAGACATGAAAATCTAAGAAACACGTATTTTTTTATACGTGCCCTAACTCATGTTTAAGGGGTGAAACACCTCTTTGAAAAGAAACGATATTTTTCTTTCGAGGCGAATATCGTCAGAAGTATAAAAGATAAAAAAAAATTTTTTAAACAAAAGTACGGTTTTAAGGAGGGATTCTGGTCTAGAAACTTGATTTTTAGGCTAGTTTCACAAATTTTTTTTGAAAAGTTCGTAAAGTCTATTCAAATCAGGGTTTCTTCTACATATTAGTATTATATATAAGTATCTTTCAGAATTTTTTATTGTAATATTCCAAGAAATATGCCCTATATAACAGTTTTTGTGAAATCGTGAAAAAAACACGGTGATTGTGGCTATTTTGCTCGTTTGAAACAAAAAAATCAAAGCGATTCTTAAAGCATATGAGTTTGGCTATCGCCTGAACTACAATAAAGTCAAAATGTTTGTTTTTATTTATTTTACATCACTTTTTAAAGATTCGAAAAATTCGAAAAAATCGGAAAGTAATTTTCAAAATGACGCCATTTTATTTTTTTTCTAAGACCAGAATCCTCTCTTAAGAGTACTTCAATGTTGTGAAAAAAATTTTTTTAACTTTTTTGTTTAACAATTGTTAACAAGCTCATATTGAATCTACGCTTATTTGATCTCGATCAGTCTTACGAATATATTTGTTTGGCATCCTACAACCATAATAAATAATTTTCATACAAATCATACTACAACAAATTAAAGTATACACGGAGAGAATTTTTGTTTAGAATTTACCTTGAAAGTATGATAGTCGTAGGGCAACGTTGTATTTCGAAGAATTTCCTTCTAAATCTCTCTCATTCATTAATAAAACTACAATAAAATATAAA